AAAGAGCCTACATTACAACCAAATAAAAGTCCTTTTTGATTCATGAAGTGCATGCACGATAGGTGGTGGAGATAGTAGACGATTTGCAAGCTTATGGTAATTCTTTGGCATTGAATTGATTTGAGCGATTATTTTTCCTATATACTTTTGAGAGGGAGAGTATACACTTATCCGGTGAGGTTTGTGGATTGAAAGCATTGACCATGATTTTGATGAAGCATTCTTTTTGTTTAAAAATTCCGGAATTTAGTATGTTACTTGCCCGATGCCTATTGATGATGTGTATGATTGACTTTGAAAGTGTGATTACTTCTATTTGTGTGTTGGTATGAGTTTGATGCATTGATCGGGACTATCAATGGTTTAAGTTTGGGGGTTTGTTCATGTGTGATTTTACACCATAATTCATATAGTATCTAGAGCTTATTTGTTGTATTATTGGTGTATAAATTGCATATTTGTGCTTTAATTCTATATTTGTTGGAAATGTATTACACGTGCTCGTTTTGTAGATATTTCCACATATTTATAGAGCTTTGGCTATTGGAGGAGCATGGTAAGTGGCTAAAACTCTCGGGATAATGATAGATCGATGCACGGATGAAAAGAATGGAAGAAACGAGAGAAACGAGCTGAAAATGGATGTACAGTGACCTGACACGGGTGGTGACACGGGCTGCCAGCCCGTGTCGGGGCATAACCTGTAGTTACTATCGGGACATCCAGCCCAATCAGCATCTGCATAGGCAATGAGTGAAGGATAAGTCAAAGGTTTAAGAAGCAGACCATGACCCAAAGTACCTTTGAGATAGCGAAGAATACGTTCTCCCGCCTGGAACACAGTCTTCAGGTGCTCTACATCAAGAAGGAGAAGTGCTCCTTTGCGAAGGCGGCTTAGCTAACCTTGGCCATGTGATCAAGAATGGTACGATCAGGATGGACGAGAAGAAAGTTCAGGCCATCAGAGAGTGGGAGCCTCCTACCAAGGTATCTGAGTGACGGTCATTCCTTGGTTTGGTGAATGACTATCGGCGGTTCATCAAGGGATTTTCTGCAAAAGAAGCGAAACTATTTATTAAAGAATAACAAGTCTTGGGAGTGGACCAAGAGGTGCCAGAATGCTTTCGAGGAGTTGAAGGCAGCTGTGACACAGGAGCCTGTTCTAGTCTTGCCAGACTTCGAAAAGGTGCTCGAAGTCCACACAGATGCTTCCGACCTTTCCATAGGAGGTGTGCTTATGCAGGAGGGACATCTCATCGCCTTCGAAAGCCGCAAACTCAATGATACAGAGGGAGGATACAGAGTGCAAGAGAAGGAGATGACAGCCATAGTTCATTGCCTAAGAACACGATCTATTAGATTTAGATCCTTGTATCGAGTAGTTGGATCATAGTCTCTTACCATACATAAAAATGGCTGCATGCGCAGCAGCATCAAGTATTCGAAATCCACATGTGATGTATGAACAATGAAAGTTGTGTACCATAGTCAGTAGCTAGTTAGATATGGATAAAGGGGAATGGTTAAAGAGCCTAAAAATGGAGGGTTAAGAGAGAATTGAGCATACCATGGATCTCATATAGGCTTTCTGGCCCTGACCCGTAAATGGACCTTTATGAGCTTCTATAAGATATTTTATACCATGACCAATGCCCAGTTGGTCTCCTATACATGTGACCGGCTATCAAGAAAAAAATAGAAATAGCTAAATTCTGGTGTGCAATATCGGTCAGCCAAAGACCCTCACTGGATCTAATCCTACACGAAAAGTCAGAAATTCTGCTTTCTATCAATTCAAGGTGGTTAAAAATGAGGTAGCTCCCTTGGCAAAACTGGGATTTGAAACAAAAGATTCCGAGTAAAAAGAAATTCATGAGGAAGTGGGATCTCTTTAGAATCTACTTCAGCGTTTAGAAATAGGTTAATCCGTAAAGTATAAATATACATGTTCGTGAACTCTATTTTTGGTAGATAATAGCCAGAAATAGGTGTAGAATCAACTCGCAGAAATGCTCGGGAGTCCTATCTCGTAGGGGTTAGGGGCGCACTGTCGATTATTCAGTACGGGGAAAGCCAGAACCACGCAGTCTTTGTTAGAGTAGGGTACCCGGCGTTCCAATCTGATTGGAAGTATTCTACTTGTAAATACAGTCTATGTGAATTATATTATGAATAAGGCATTTCTTTATCTTAAGAGAAAGCATTTATATTATAAATACACTTAAGATAAAATCCCTAGATCACTTATGGTTATAAGGTATGGTTGCGCATAGAGATGGTGATCATGGAACATACCTTGAAAGCCGTGATCTTAAATATAGTTCCAAGTCGATGGATGTTTCGAGATGGGATATCGAATAATCCATAAAAGACTTGCACATAGTTTGTATGCTTGTTGGACAAGAATGTTGCATTCCATCAACATTAGCGTAAGACGTAAGTACATTTATGTGGGTGCTTGTTAGAGAACAAGTTCACTGAACATGACCGTATGAAAATTCTTAATGAAGAATTTATTCAGTCGAATAAGAATTTTCATGTTACAATAGTACATGACTAATCCTAAGACTTGAGGCACAATGGTAACTTTGTGCATATTACATTCTACTTTGATTTATCCTTTTGGTAGCTAGCACTATCGTTTAAAGGGATAAGTTGGGTATTATGTTGATATGTATGGAAGTTTGTTAGTGGCCAATAAAGGATTCGACACTTATGAAGATAAGTGAATTTCCTATGTGTTTCATAGTTATTAATCCAAAGTCCTTGGCCAAGGCAGAGATGAATAGTGATTCATAACCGGGTTAATAAACATGAAATAGAATCATAGTTATTAAGTCAATTTGGGTTTCGACAAAATCATACCCAAGACTTAATCGGGAAATTAGATGTCGAAAGGATTTTACATGTATGGAGTTGTAATCGGAATAGGTTTACTCGCTATTCACTTAATACTAGATTCATGCTACTTGCTAGGTGTTACCATGATATGTGGGTTCATAAATTAAAGGGTTAATTCATGAATAAGAGTTAATAAGATTTAACTCAAATTACAAAGTGTTGTAAACCCACTACTAGTATTAAGGTGAACCTAAAAGGTCACACTAATTATGAACAAAGGTAAAGATTGTATTTCTAATGGTTAGAATTAATTGATAAATATCTAATTTGATTAGATATCAATTAAAGGAATATATTAATCAATAAGATTGATTAATTACAATTTTGGATATTACTTTAGTAATTAAGGTAATTACTAAATTAATAAAGTTGAATTTTTAAAATAGGATTTTAAATTTCAAATCCAAAATAATAATAATATGATTATTATAATATGGATGAAAATTGGGAAATGAATATAATAATAATGTCTTGGAATAGATTCTCAAGATATATTATTATATTATCTTTAAATATGATTTAAGGATTAAAATAATAATTATGAATATAATAGATGGTGGGTAATGGTGGTTATGAACAACCAAACATAGTTTATTATATCTAAAGTCAATAGTTAGTAATTGTATTTAAATAAAATTAGATTTTATTTAAATATTACTAAATATTGATTATTTTATGCTAAAATGTTTAGTATAAATAGATGTAAATGGTTTACATAAAGGTTAAGCAAATTTGATTTCAAGAAAGTGTTCTTAGAATTCAAGAGTTAGAAGAAAAAAATTCTTCACAATAACAAGAAAAGTTCTTAAAATTTCCCAAATAAAAATTCATAAATATTCCTATACGAGAAAACCGAGACATTCCTACTAGCGAAGGAAGGTAGTCGGAACCGGGCTTCATAGGGTGGATACGATTAGAGGGAAGACACTTGGATTCCTCAAGCGAGTGACCTCAATCCGTTGAAGTTACCAAACCGGGAATTGATTCCCTCGTTCAACGTTTGTGAAGAAGTTCAAGAACTATTAGGTAAATACTATTTATTTGTATTTAGTATTTATTTATTATAACAAATCAAAATTTGTATATGATGCATGTTTTAAAGATGACGATCAGTTAATTCGCAATTAGTATGTACGGGTGTTGTATTTATATGATAAATACTTACTCTGAAAAATTTTAAATTCCGCTGCTTAAAGCCCGTACGGTACTAGCGGACCCAACAGTCTTGACTAGTAGGACGGGCAGATGCCGAGGAGCGAAGAAATGCAGATGACTATGAGGAAGTAGTTGAACCGAAGCAAAGACGGGAAGTAGGCTTAGCTTTTATGAAAAGGATTGGGCCAGCTCTGAATTGACGAACTTCTTTGACTTCACTTCGCTTCTAAAAGTTTGTTGGGTGGAACATTAGGTTCCCTTTCTCGTTTTCTGGTTAGGCACTAAATCGGTTGCTCAGCGATCCGCCTCATTGCAGGAGGAAAGAACCAGAGCAAGCACTTACAGGAAGCCTAATGGTCTCATTTCACAGACCATGCTTGGCTCGATGTAATTGACCGCTCCGTGGGTTAGTGCTTTTAAAAGTATCCATTGAATATCTCTTTCAGTGCCCGCTTTCTACAAAGCATTGCGCTTCGTAGCTGCATTAGGAGACAGACGCGTCACTCGGGTGATACAAAAAGAGAGTCAGCTAGGTAGTACACAAGGGCTTAAAAGCGCCTGACATCTAGGTTCCGCTCCTTCCACCCGGTCCGTCACATCAATACTCCTTGCCCTTTTGGTCATACCGTTATCACCCGAAGAAAAGAAGACCCAACAAACGAAGCGAAGCGAAGTGAAGCTTTAAATATGAGTCGACCCTTGTGTCTTAAGCTTAGCAAGAAAAGATCTAAACCGCGGGTAGATGGATATCAACCCAGCATGGAAAATCATGCTCCAACTAGGGTACCAGCCTAGGAAAGTTTTAGGCAGAGAAAGCAATGCCTGACACATACCCTTACCTTTATGACCCGATCGAGCACACTTGATTGCACCAGTTCGAAAGAAAGTCCAGATGGCCGAAAAAAGGTTCAATAGGAGTTGGAAAACTATCTTACCATACTAAGCTTTCAGGTCAATGTAACCAGGACTTCACTGAACAAGCAACGGATTGAGCAACTAGCGCGAAAGCCGTTGCGCCATTTTTTTGCTGCTTCGCTTCGTTCGTTTCATTTCAATTCGACTTTTTTCGTTTTATATAGCTGTGAAATTCATAAGATATCCCACGACCAGAACGAAGAGAGAAAAGCAAAAGACTAAAGAAAGGATTGCATGACTTTCTTTCTTCATTTGTTAACCTAAGGAATGGTCTTTTCTACATGCCAATCAGAGACATTCTAGAATCCTGGCAACAGGAACATATTAAACTCCCTTACCTTGGATCTTGGCCAGCTACTAGGCAACAATCCATATAGTCTAAATCTAGTACTAGTAGGTTCGGGTTCGAGGGGCTATCGCCCATTTCTGAAAGCCAAGACCTAAGGGTGGCCTCGGATCTGACAAATATAGCGTATTTTTGGTCACTCGTGTTAAGCATTGCCATTTTTTTCTTTAGGAAAAACTGCAGCAAAACCTCCCTTGCCTGAAATAGAAGGTAAATCTCAACCGAATCCCCCAACCCTTGACAACATTCGCTCAACTTCCGATCTTTTGGACAACACCTTTTAGTAAAAATCCACCTATTCGAATAGTCTAAATATTCATCCATTTTGATCAAAACCAGGCACTTCTTTCTTTCGCCCTATCCCCAACGGGGACTTCAACTACCGCCGAAAAGGGTTGGATAAGAGGGATCTACCAATAAAAAAGAATCCAGTAGCTAATGCTGTTAATGTTGCTAATTCCGCTCCAACTTCTGAATGAAGCAGCTTACCGAGATGGATAGGGATCTTAGCAATGAAGGCGCCATCCACCTAGAGCCAGCCTTGCTACTCCCCTTGTGGGAACCTGCGACAACATTGAGAACCACGTACCGTATTCACTCGACCAGACCAATCGAACTAAACTCAGAACTCGATTAACTATTGTAGGATTCGCTAACCATGTTTGTTAGCATGTCTGTCATTGTTCTCTCAGATCTTACTTACCATATGTTGTGTCATCGATGAAGTCTTCTCTTTCAGTTAACATTTCACCAGTCATGTTCGTACTAGACAGGGGTTGGGTCATCAACTACTGGCTAACCGGTTCCACGTTTGTCACCACACTTGTCTACCTTCGGATAATCTTTCATCCAACCAGTCAACACACAATATGTGTTATTAAGCATATAGCTTACCTCGGAAATAAGCTGCCAGTCTCACTCCACCAGTGAAATCCAATGAGGAACAACAGAGAACAAGCATCCATAGCTCAAGAGAAAGAGAGGAAGGTATAAAGACCCTTCATGAGGAACTGCTGAACATCGGGTTCTATACGAATCTATCCTCTTAAGCCTTCTTTCAATCATTGTTGGATTGTTGTTTGTATCTCGTGTACAAGATCTCATATCGGTTGTTAAACAGGTGTTTACCAAGATTGAACAACTAGTACAGTTTCCTGAACCTGCCCGGAGAAGTGTCTTAGATAAAAGTTTCCTAATACCTGACCTGAGAAACGGCTAACTCACCTATCATTGCAGCTGCACCCCCCGAGCTCCGCCTCACTGCAGGACCAACTCCTAAACAAGAATAATCATTGCTAACATCCCCGATCACTGCACTGAAAAAGCTCCTACGGGCTATTCTTCATCGGTCATGCGCGTACAAGGCGGGTGTTGGTTAAAAGCTTGGAGGCGGTGTCCACCTACTCGCGTTATCCACTGGTAATACATTCGCCGTTGGTGTTGTCTATTAAACATCTATACGATCAAGAACAAGCTGAATCCTCGAAGAAAGGGCGATATAGGATCTACTTTCCTTCAATAAACGCGTATAAGAAGATAGGGATAGAGATTAAATGAAGCTCGGTGTTATGAGGCGCAGGTGATTAGCACAGATGGAACATAGTGGGGGCAGGAGGCTCGGATCTCTTTCAGGATCTACTTTCACACACTAGTACGTAGTAGACGAGGAAGAAATTAAGAGCCCTAGCCCTCGTACCAATCCCTGAACCGGGCCTCCGCTCTGACTTGCCTTCGGTATGACCTTTCCTCGCATCAGTCGTAAGTTTTGAAAAACCCGGGCAGCAAGGGAAATGAATTCCTCGCTATTGGACGTAGCCCTTGGACCTGGACCTGCGCACTTACCGCCTACTCATGCCAAACACCTGTCTTGCTTTCTTCCTCTCAGTGCAAGCTGAACTGATACTGAGTTCGGGAAACTAGATCCATAGGCTTTATAACTATCAGGTATCAGGGATCAGTCCGCTCCTCCGTGGTTGGAGTAAAAGGATAGGTTCGTTGGCCCCAATCCTAAACAGAGATGGGGAAAGCCTATTGGTCCAAGGTTTCTGACTATCAGATCGAAGAGGCGCTTTAAAGAGCCAGTCCAAATACTATGACTGATCCTGGGAAAGTATACCCAACAAGCAAGGGATTGAGCAACTAAATAGATACTATGTTTACATGCGGATCCCTACATCGTTCCATTCCATTTAGGATTAGGAATAGACGGAATCGGACCTGCTTTTTCCATATCTCTCGTTATTTTTGAGACTCTATTCACCTCTTTCTTTGAGCTTCTATTGAATCGAGAAAGAAAATAGGCTTGATTGACCATCTTTTTGATATATACATATATACATAAGTACATAAGGCATTCTTCGGATAATTCAAATTGAAGCAATTGGATGTCCAACCCGGGCCTATATGACCGATCAATAGAAAGACTCTACCCTTATCATATATTCCATACATCACACTAGATAGATATCCTATTCATGGATTATAGGGTGCACTTTCAAGATGCCTTGGTGGTGAAATGGTAGACACGCGAGACTCAAAATCTCGTGCTAAAGAGCGTGGAGGTTCGAGTCCTCTTCAAGGCATAATATCGAGAATGCTCATTGAATGAGCAATTCAATAAGAGAGCTCGGATCGAATCGGTATATCAATACCGATTCGTTCTGAGCTCTTGGAATTGGAATAAGTTTGGACAACATATTTGTCCGCAAAGGTTTGCCACGTTACCTCAGTAATTATATATTGAGCTAAGCTATTAATTATTTTAGTCTAAATCTTTATTCGAACATGTCATAAGTTTATACACATAAAATAAAATGTTTGATATTATTTTAGTGAAAATGTCAATTATACTCATAAATTTAATATTGATCAAATTCAAAATATGAGTTGAAAGGTAAACAGTTTACAAATCAATATTGACTTTATTTAAATTAATTTTTATAAAATAATTGATATTTTGATATACATTATTTATATAATTAGTTATGTTGATTGGTGTGATTTTTATAAAAGAAATGAAGGAATTTCCGCATCACTATGACAATTATAAATTATAATAGTTTCGAAATTTAAAATTAGTAATTTGAAATGAACGGAATATTATTCAACTTGTACCATATTAAGGATAAAACAGTCTTAAGCATATTAAAGAGAAAGAGAGTGAAAAAAAATACAGAAAAGCTCAATATTGCTTGTTTCGTAATTACCATTTTGGGGGCTAAATTAGAGGTTGGAGGGTGAATTAGATGCTTGACACATTAGAACATTTGATTCCATTGTATGGTAAGTAGCAATTTGAAATATATTTTTCAAATAAAAAAAAAAGTTAATTTCCAATCTTTCTCTCTCTTAAGCCCCTTTCTCTCTCTAAAAACCCGACAACCAAGCGACTCTCAGATCTTCTTCGCGTCGCCTTCCTCGGCGTCTGTGCGGCGCCGGCCGGTGGTCGCTTTCGACTGCCGTCCCTCCTCCGATGCCTCAGACCCCTGGTATTGCCGTGATATGCTTGCGACGGTAGATCTACCCAACCCTTGTTCGTCGGAGCTGCGGCGATTGGAGGAGGCGTGCTTTTCGCTCGTCAATCGGACTGCAATTTGTGCATCGTTTGGCCTGTTGGTCTCAATTGTAGGTGAGCCCTCTTCCAATTTTGCTTTTGTTCCTGTCTCTGTCTAAGAGGGCGATCGATGGGCTCGGGCGGTTCTGTTTTTTCCGGCGAAGCTCCGTTCGGGATCTTCTCGATCGGGTGCCGGTGTTTATACGGAGGTGCTGGTGGGTTTGTGGGTCGTGAGGTGGGGCGGGGCTATGATGGTGAGTCGGAGCTGAGAACCCGACCGCCTCCCTGTTCCGGCTAGTGGTGTTAGACGGCGGGGTTCTGGCGCTCCTTAGCTCGGCTAGTGGTGTTAGGCTTGCTTGGGCAGTGCTAGAGTGGGTGTGGTTCGATGTTACTCCGGTCGAGGCGGGTTGTATCGTGGTTGGTTGATGTTCGGGCTCGACTCTTTGTATAGGCCTTATGGCAGTTTCGGGAGCCGTCCCCTAGACTTGGACTAATCTTGATATCGACTGTTCTCCGTTGGTTAGGGCTGGCTGATTAGCCGTGGAAGGGTGTTTTTACTTAGCTGTATTTTTTCCTTCTTTTGCTTGTAGTAGTTTGGGTTGTTGTTCTTGTTTAGTGTGTCCGTCTTTGTGTTTGTGTTAGTTATTGTGTTTTAGGTTTGGGCCGTTGGCCCCTGTGAGCCCGAGTGTCAAATTTATTACTCCGTGGGGGTCCGACACTCGGGTATTACTCCGTTGGGGGTCTTGTTTAGTTTTGTTGGTGTAGTTGGTTTCGTGTGATTGTATTTTTCGTTGCTTTCGTGCGTGTTGCCCGAGAATTACCCCGTTGGGGTCGGCTCTAGGCGATCTCTGGATCTGCCTCTCAGTTTTCTAGTCTCTGGTTGTACTATCAACAATCTATGCTCGTTCAATTAACTATCTGCTAATTAATTCAACTGTTAGCTAAAAGTGTTTGACAAATAGTTAGTTGTTTTTAGCTTGATATGTAAAAACAACAAAAATTACAATCCTACATTCCAAAATTACAATCCTACGTTGCTATTGTAAATATCACAAAGTAAAGTTATTTTAGGTACATCATATTTTTACAGAATTAATTGTACTTTTATAATAGTATACATGGAAAATGCTATGAAACCATCTGATGGCTCCATAACGGAGCCATCGGATGGTTCCATAGCAGGACTGTAGTATACATAGATTATATTATAATTATAATTGAAAGAAGCGGCTAGGAAAGTTGATGTTGGTTGTGGTTCATGTGGAAATGGACGGGCCACAGCCATAGGTGAACATGTTCGCTTAGGTCGTTGACAAAATATTTCTACTTAGGAAGGAGTGTACGACCTTTTTTTTTTAGGAATGTTAGATAATAAGGTTTTGCATCAGTTTTATTTATCCTGTTGCTGCTCAAATGAAGTATGTTCTGTAAGTTCCTTATCTTCTCTTTGCATTTCCTAACTGTGAAATGTCCACACCTTCTCTACCATCTTCTTTTTCTTCCTTCCTTTTATTTTCCAAACCCGTATATATATAGTTACATGAAATCAATAAATACAGATCTTTTTCAGATATAAACTCCTCAATTCATAATCATCTTATATCATACATACGAATGAATTTCAAGATTTTGACATTTTCCAAGCGACAAATAGGATAAATGGTGCAAAAGAACAACATTTTATCCTGATGGAAACAATAATAATATCAAATTCCATAATTATATTACAACGTTCAACATCTTTCTACAGGAAAACCTTCGTAAACGTTTAGAAAATCCAAAATTAACCATTAACAACATCCTTTATCTGTCGAGCAAAAGCACCAAACTCTAGAAAATTTGTAAAATAGAAAATGACATTACTATAAGCTTGTACTTCTAAGTTCTCCCCCACTGCACCAGCTTTGTAGTGATCTGTGGGACCTCCTTTTTGTAGAAGTAAATATACCTAATAGTAAAAGGAAAAAATAGAAGCAGTAAGCTCCTTATCAGTAATATATATGGACAACATTCGCATTTCTCATAGCACTCTTTAAACAGAGCAAGAACTTAGACGAACATCGAGAAATCGCATATTGAGAAAGAATCCCACTATTGGAATCCAAAATGAAATAAAAACCATTGGAATTTAAAAGAGGCTTCAATATAATACATATCCCAACAGCCAAACACACCTCTCCCCATCTTTGATACTGTTATGTTCATCAAAAATTAAATTAAAAATATATATTATTTCAACAAAAATATAAATATAAATACAAATAAAATACAAACAGGTTATGCAAATTATTAGATTAAAATTACCCTTGTGCAGTATCAGAAACTCCAGCGGCTTCACTCAAAATGAAACCATCTTTTTTCAACAAACCAAGCTTCTCAATCTCCACATGAATGCGTCCCTGAAATCTATTAAATCTATTATTACAGAGCAACTTAGAATTTTTTTTTTTTTTAATAAGAAAGTAAAGTAAATTTGTGATATGGGATATAAATCATGAACTAACTAAAATTTTGATGTAATATAAAAAATAATACAATATTAAATTATGAGGCCAAAAGTTATAAATATGTGAGTTGCTGAATAGTATGTTTTTGAAAAATATATATACGACTACTTAGTTTGTGTTAATAGTATTTCAACCAAAAACTTTGTTCTAAGCACGATGCATGACATGAACAGAAGGAGGAAATAGATTGGCTAAATAATAGTATAAGACTTGAAACATGAATTCGATTGCTAATGCACCATTCCAGAATCGGATTATCTCTAAGAAAATCGGGCATGGAGCAAAAAGAAATTATTATTTGCTGGAATATATGTTTCCATTTTTGTTTTAATGAAGTTTGCCCTTTGTAGATTTCCTCTTTCTGATTGATTTTATTCAAAATATGAAAAATCCAATTTAATATATGTAAATTCGTATAAATGATCCAATCTACTTCAGATACGTTTACTGATGTGATCCAGTTTCAATAATAAAAAACAGATCTAATTATAAAACTATCCTTCAGTTTGACATATAATGATTGAAAATTTCTTTATCAAGTACTCCCTTATCGAGGCAATGCATTTAGTAAAATTGAAACCAATACTGAGTGTAACTTTCAATTTTTAGTGATTTCAACAAACCTCAAAAGGCCAAAGGTACTTGCACAAAACATGGCTTGTCAGAAAAAAGTATAGATACATGGCTTAAAATATGGTGTACAGTAAATCAATTAAAAATATATTCTTAAATATATAAAATACATGAGTAAAGGAAATAATTTAAAAGAAATAATTAAAAGTTTGAGCACAGTAAATCAAATTATAATAAAATAATTATTATAATACAAACAGAAAAAAAATTTCCAACCAATTATTGAAAAAGAAAAATAGGCTATTTACAATGATAATTATTTTACCTTATATTCCCAACCGCCGTGACATCTGTATTTATGGTAGACTTTCTTCCATGTGGTCATGCTCTGTATTAAAATTATATTAATAAAGTTTTAGATAATATTCATAAGTTATAATATCATAGTATAAATGAAAATCAATTATACCTGAACGTAAAACTTGTCTGTACACCACATTTTTAGTTCTTGTATTTTCTTCTGAACTCGTGTTGGGTGGTTTTATTAAAACTTTCGTCGTATGCATCGAAGTTCCTCTAGAGAATGCGACATACAATTGACCGTGCGAGAAGACTGATTGAGGCAAATATATTCCGACATTTGGGATTGTTTGTCTTTGTGCTTTATTTATGGTCATGGCAAAACAAAGTCTAATTGGGAATTGCTTGCGTTTGAAAATGAATGGATAACCTTCATTTTCAGCTGGTGATAAGGGTTTCCTAGGTATGAAGACATGTTTTCCAGCATATTGACCAAATACGATTTCAGCATCAATCACATTATTCTTGAAATCTCTGCATACCATCCTTGTCCCATTGCACAATCCGTTAGATGGGTCCAAGTTTCTCAAGAGGATTATGGGACAATATCTTTTCAGGACCAATTTATGAGGCGGCAATCCATTTGGAGTCAACGAATTCAAGAAGTCTTCCTCATAATAATTATTTGCATCATCAACTGCTTCACCAAAACTGGCAAACAATTTTTCTTCTCCTGGAAAGATAGAGATTAATTTCTCGTTCAATCTATCCACGTGGTCATTTTTAGGGGTAAGTATTGCACGACATGCCATGTATTCAGCAGACTTCGCATTTCGTTCCAAATTTGGAAAAATGATGTTCAGAAGTCATTGTATTGAATCATCCTCAGTGTCATAAGCAACAATCATCTCTTTCGGAACTTCAATATTACCATCTGTGTCAGTTGGTTCCTTACCATCCCCAACTCCAAGTAAGAACTTACTAAAGGCAGGATCATTCCTTGACCTCATGTTTCTGGATAAGGAAATCTTCTTCATTTTAGGCCACAATGTTGACTTGACCAAACTTGCAGATATTGTTTGTTGGATTGTAGCCTTTGGGATCACTGGTAAAACTTGCCGAAAATCACCACCGAGAACAACCACTTTTCCGCCGAAATCTTGAGTATTACCCATTACATCTTGCAATAAATAATGCACATACTCGATCGCCCATCGTTTCGCCATTGGCGCTTCATCCCATATTATTAACCGTGCCTTGCGTAATAATTCGGCAACTCCACTTTGTTTTGACACACTGCCTTTACTTCCTTCACTTACATCAATTGGTATTTTGAAACGTGAATGTGCTGTTCTTCCACCAGGCATAATCGCAGCAGCAACTCCAGATGTTGCGGTAGCAAGGGCTATCAGATTTTTTGATCTAAGATGAGCTAACAATGCACGGTATAAGAATGTTTTTCCTGTTCCTCCTGGTCCATCAATGAAGAATATGCCTCCATTTCCGCTTTTTACACAATCCAAAACTAATGAAAATGCTTTATGCTGTTGATCATTCAACATTCCTACAGCTGCATAATCTTCAGGAGGCACTTCAATGGAAAGTTCGTCTTGAATCTCTCTATGAATATTATCATACATTTTAATCAGATCTATGGGTATATTTGGAAGATCATAGTCACATACACTCTTACCCATACTCTCCAAGTATGAGTTTATACCGTTTAAAGTCTTGGCGGCATATACTTCTTTTGATGCATTTGAATCTCTTCTGAAATCTTCAGACATTGCATGACAGTATGTATTCCACAGCTCTTTCACATTCGTTGGAGCACAATGAACCAATAGGGTTGCAAATAGCCTTCTCAATTCGCGTGGCATTTGAAAAGTCACTGCTTCATTCAAAAATTCGAAAATATTTTGATCAGATTCAAGTAATCCCCTTTTTTGGGCTGCTTCTTTGAATGAATGACAAAGAACATTATCTACAGTTGCCAAATCTTTGAAAGATGTTGGTCCCCTAACGTGATTCAAGAGTAGCTTCTCATAATATCTTTCCCCTTCATTTGGATTTGCAGTATGCACGCGGCCAATAACATCTTTTTTAATCCTTTTACGCCAATATTTTGGCTTTTTCTTCCATACATAATGCTCAGGAAATTCACGGTAAAGATATTTTCTTGCTTCTTCACTTTGGGCGCACATTGAGAAATACTCTGTAAGCATTGTTTTGGAATTATGTTCCCAACTCAAAACATTTTGGAGATTTTGATTTGCTGGATAAGGCACAAGGTGCTTGTCGGGAAGATGAAGTGGCAAGTTAATAACTGCAGGGCATATATCATTCATGCTAAACTCAAATATCCTCCATGTTGCTTCTTGAGCAGATACCCATCGTGCATCTTCAAAATCCTTAATTTCATCGACCAACTGCTCATCATTATTGTGGGTAACATTAATTGCTACTCGGTCATGCCCTTTGTATATGTATTTATAAAGATATTTCACAGTTGTAATTTCTGAACATACCTCCACATTTATGTGACAGTTATATCTTGATAGAAGAAAAGGATTGTATGGCACTACCCATTGATTGTCTAGTTGAGCATTGCGAACTTGAACTGTTAATCCGTTTTTGCTTCTTCTGTAAATCGGGTATCCATCTTTTCCTTGTACAGTTTTCTCGCAAAATGCTCGTGGATAATGATATTTGCACTTACCATTCAACATGCACGCATTCTTCTCGTTCTTTTCTCCACATGGTCCATGCATCATATGTCTCACAACCATCTCAAAGAGTTTGGGGTAGATTCTTCGATTTGGAAGTTCAGCAGAAACATATTTATCAAATTGATCAGGAGTTTGAATTTTATGCTCAGACTTCATGATAACCAACATATGGGCGTGTGGCAACCCTCTTTTTTGAAATTCAATTACGTGAACATGAGCAGCTACATCTCCAAATATATTCTTCTTAAGAATCTGATCCTTCAAATCTTGCAATTTTGCTCGGAACACTCTTGACGTCAAATCTGGACGATCTTGGGCTCGTTGCCCTTCATACAACAACTCTTGTATCTCTATCCAATCTGGATTGCAAGTCATTGTAACGAATAAATCTGGTTTTCCGAATTTTTGCACCAATGCTAGTGCATCAAGATACCTGCGACGCATATCTCTTGGTCCTCCAATAAATGATGCAGGTAGCACAATTCGTTTTCCAACTTCACTTCCTCTAATCTCTCCTTTCTTAACACTATCTTTAATTCCTTGGTATGATTCAGCTCTCATGTTCGATTGATTATGGCGATAATAATCTAATCTTGTTGTCTCCAGTTTTATATACATGTCAACGACATATTGCTGAAATAGTCTTTCACCAAGGAGAAGTGTTGATTCTCTAGGACTTCTGATTTGCAGTCTGTAGCAACTATATTCTCTGCATGATACTTTTTTGGGGCTTTCTGCTCCAACAACTGTAAATAATATACAATGAATAATTAAAAAAATAATTTAGTTAAAAAATCTATTAACAATAATGAATACAAATTTAACCAAACAATAAAGAGTTTAATTATTTATAAAATCAGCTTTGATTTTAAGTAATATAATGTTAAAAACACTTATAGCTTATTCATAATTTTCTAAAAATAATTAAATATTGTTGCAACAATTATGTCCACAATTGAAACATTGCATTATAATAAAAAAAAAATTGCATACCTTGGCATTCATGAGAGAGGATGTCATTCGGACAAGAAAAATTTGAGATTGATGAGATATTTGTATCTGAAAGCGTAATGGAAAAAAAATAAAACAAAATAAAATGTCATATCAATATAAAAAATACAAAGCATTAAATATAAATAAAAATAAAATAAAATAAAATAAAAAATAAAAAAATTGTACCTTCTTTCTGCATATAGTTTTCATTAGAAGCTAACTTGAAAATCTTTTGATGCCAACCAACATCACCTTTTGGAAAGAGGAGGGGATATTGCAGTGGATCATAACATCCAAAATAATGCTTTATTCTATGTCTTGCACCTGAATGTGCATGAATAACAATGTCACGTTCAAAGGGAATATTAACATTATTTCCTTCAACCCATATTGCTGCGACTTGATCAGTTGTCGGACAATTATACACACGTTGGTCTAGTTTTGCATCCTTTGAGATATGGAGTCGAACTTCATCCATTGATAGATAGTCCTTCAATCGTCTAAAAACTTTTGCATATGGGTTTACATCCAAAACGGTAATGAGTTTGTTAACCGTAGATTTAGATAAAGAGGAGTTTGGAAATATGCTCATCCTATTCTCGACCTCTCGTTCTGTTTCCACAAAATACAACTGAAAATACCCAGGTCCATCTTCTTTAGGTAATAAGCTAGGAAGATCGTGATACACTACTCCCTGAGCTCGAAACGTATAGACTCCTTGTCTTGCAGATGCAAGTTCTTTATCTAATTTGACCCCTAATGATGTAAAAGAGAACATACTGTTAAATAGGCGAATGTTTATTCGAAACTGTTTTGCCTCTTCCGTTTGTGAAGTGAACAATTCATATAATTCATCAGGCACATCAATAGGAGCAAGTTTGACTTTCCCATTATCACAACAAAAGGTTGGACACTCGTACTGAAATTTCATTGCACCACAATGTATGCAATTGGGCATTTTTTTCAACTCATGTACCGCTAAACATACATTCCCTTTGATAATTGAACCTAAAAAACAACAAATACCAATTATTTATTAAATCACATAAATGAATGAAATGCCTAATTTATTTTTTTATGTACAATAATAATAGAGTATTACTAATAATATATCTCTAGTAAATCACATTAAATACAATAGAAAACAATCAAATGTTACTATATTTTTTATAAATTGAAGCATACTCATTTTTTTATTAAGACATCATTTATATTTTTATTTGTACAAAAGTAAAGCATTGACTTCATTACAACTTTAATAACATCAAATATGGAATATGTAAATGCATTATGACAACCTAATATAAAAATATAAAAAACAATAAAAACAACAAATTCTTTTGAAGTATAAAAGAAGCATAGAGTACTCATTTAGATCTCATAAAAATATGTATATATTTTGTATTAGAGGATTAAATATTTCTAACCTTCAAGTCCAGATAAAACTTCATCAGTATCAAGACATGCAACGCCCATATTTTGGCCCTTGCGATGTTTATTTTTTTTAGCATAATACACTTGCTTCTGATAAGGATCTAAATCGTTGTATCTTCTTTTCATCTTAGCCGCATTTCGATGTCGATATACATCCTTCACTGTGATAAATACAATTGAATAAAAATGTTACAAATAAAAAAATATATATATTAATGTAAAATAAAAAATATAATGAAAATGTTTTACTATTAATTTATTACGGTGTATAAGTTGCATAAATTTGTCCATTGCAAATGGAGCTTGAAGAGTCATTGTTGACAATTCTCCTGGCATAGTGCTAATAATGGACTAGATTAAAATGGCTCAATTAAATTCTAGTGGTTCTTCTATTAGTGAAGTTTCTAGAAAAAAAAATATATCAAACGGCGCAATGCACCTTGGGTCGCTACGGAAACAGCCTCTTTGTATAATTACAAGGGTAAGGTCTGCGTACAACTGACCCCCCAGACCCCAACCTGTTGGGAATATACTGGGTATGTTGTTGTTGTTGTTGTTGTATAAGTTGCATAAATAATTTAATATGAATTTTCAATTAGTTAATTATCATATGATATAATAGATGAAAAAAATGCATATTAATATATATAATTATATATATATATATATATTAATTACCTGTTGACAAATCAAATGTTGATGATTTTTCACTCATGCTACAACTTGATAAGATCCTTTAAAAACCAAATCATTTTGCCAAAGAATAACAAAATTAATTAAAAAGCAAAAATAAAATATAAAATTAGCAAGAGAAGTGAAATTAAAATAGAAATTAATGTAAAGAAATATGTTGTCGAGATAATTTGTGGTCTCAATTTTAAGAAAACTATGACCAGAAACACAGTTTTTGATGAAAGATTACCATTACAAACCTGGATAATAATTATGCAATAAAAGTTGATAAATCCAATTTATGAAAGCACAAACTGCAATGCAATAATTACACAGAGATGTATAAAGCCCTCCACGCTCATTTTTTCTTTTTCTTTTTACATCAAAGTGGTTAAACTAATGATTCAACAACAAAATCAGTTCAACTGTTCAATATACCAGTGAGGATATTTACATCAACTAAATAAAGCTAAGACTTTTCCAGTCACAAAACCACAGGGAATTATAACAAAATTTTCTCTATCAGCTACATAAGATGTGCAGAAACAAAAGTTAAGATGGAAATTAGAAAGGAACACAAACTAACACAGTATTAAACAGCGAGATCTGTGAATTAACACAAAGAATAATCTAGTTCAGACAAAGTTCTGTCAAGTTGCATCTGAGATTTGATGAAACAAAAACAAACGGGAAAGCGAGATCTGGGACATAGACAAACGATGATCCACTTCACATGGACTGATTATATGAAAAAACCCATACAGAAAGAAGCTTTCAGAATTATAACCAAGTAAAAATTGCTAAACATCAAGCACATATCCAACGAAAACTAATAAATATACACAAACCCAACAACAAATTATTTTTTTAAAAAAAAATATATCATGACTAAAAAATCCAGCTAAATGAACACCGAAGTCTATGAATAAAATCCAATCTTTGAGCTTTGCCACCATACCTGATAATCAACCAACAATCTTCTCCGCCAAACTTCTTTTACAGCTAATTCCCCTCCTGCAACTTGAATGCAAGCAAGTCTACTACTTTCTCTTTCCTCTTTCCCTTGTTTTGCTTGAAAAAGAGACAGCTATTTGTTGAGAGTCAGTCAACAGAAAAATAATTCAGGCTCCCAAAAGGCATAAATAATTGCAATATATTTAAATGGTAAAACGAACTAAAATTTCTGTACTATACTGTTGGCTATTTATATAATTATTTTAGTTTTAATTAGAACCTTGTATAAATCAGACTATGGATTTCGACTGTGAAAAACCCCATTATAACTCGAAAAAGGAAAGAAAGAAAAATCCTTACCAGGGATTCGTGAAGATGACCGACGTAGGGCGCAACAAAATAATGAAGTCCTACCTATGGGAGTCTACGGCTTTCGGATTTCGTGATTGATCGACGGAGCTTTCTGAAAAGAGTCGTCTTCTCCGATGGAGCTTTCTGAAAAGAGTAGTCTTCTACCAGTGAGGATATTTACATCAACTAAATAAAGCTAAGACTTTTCCAGTCACAAAACCACAGGGAATTATAACAAAATTTTCTCTATCAGCTACATAAGATGTGCAGAAACAAAAGTTAAGATGGAAATTAGAAAGGAACACAAACTAACACAGTATTAAAAAACGAGATCTGTGAATTAACAAAAAGAATAATCTAGTTCAGACAAAGTTCTGTCAAGTTGCATCTGAGATTTGATGAAACAAAAACAAACGGGAAAGCGAGATCTGGGACATAGACAAACGATGATCCACTTCACATGGACTGATTATATGAAAAAACCCATACAGAAAGAAGCTTTCAGAATTATAACCAAGTAAAAATTGCTAAACATCAAGCACATATCCAACGAAAACTAATAAATATACACAAACCCAACAACAAATTATTTTTTTAAAAAAAAATATATCATGACTAAAAAATCCAGCTAAATGAACACCGAAGTCTATGAATAAAATCCAATCTTTGAGCTTTGCCACCATACCTGATAATCAACCAACAATCTTCTCCGCCAAACTTCTTTTACAGCTAGTTCCCCTCCTGCAACTTGAATGCAAGCAAGTCTACTACTTTCTCTTTCCTCTTTCCCTTGTTTTGCTTGAAAAAGAGACAGCTATTTGTTGAGAGTCAGTCAACAGAAAAATAATTCAGGCTCCCAAAAGGCATAAATAATTGCAATATATTTAAATGGTAAAACGAACTAAAATTTCTGTACTATACTGTTGGCTATTTATATAATTATTTTAGTTTTAATTAGAACCTTGTATAAATCAGACTATGGATTTCGACTGTGAAAAACCCCATTACAACTCGAAAAAGGAAAGAAAGAAAAATCCTTACCAGGGATTCGTGAAGATGACCGACGTAGGGCGCAACAAAATAATGAAGTCCTACCTATGGGAGTCTACGGCTTTCGGATTTCGTGATTGATCGACGGAGCTTTCTGAAAAGAGTCGTCTTCTCCGATGGAGCTTTCTGAAAAGAGTAGTCTTCTACCAGTGAGGATATTTACATCAACTAAATAAAGCTAAGACTTTTCCAGTCACAAAACCACAGGGAATTATAACAAAATTTTCTCTATCAGCTACATAAGATGTGCAGAAACAAAAGTTAAGATGGAAATTAGAAAGGAACACAAACTAACACAGTATTAAACAGCAAGATCTGTGAATTAACACAAAGAATAATCTAGTTCAGACAAAGTTCTGTCAAGTTGCATCTGAGATTTGATGAAACAAAAACAAACGGGAAAGCGAGATCTGGGACATAGACAAACGATGATCCACTTCACATGGACTGATTATATGAAAAAACCCATACAGAAAGAAGCTTTCAGAATTATAACCAAGTAAAAATTGCTAAACATCAAGCACATATCCAACGAAAACTAATAAATATACACAAACCCAACAACAAATTATTTTTTTAAAAAAAAATATATCATGACTAAAAAATCCAGCTAAATGAACACCGAAGTCTATGAATAAAATCCAATCTTTGAGCTTTGCCACCATACCTGATAATCAACCAACAATCTTCTCCGCCAAACTTCTTTTACAGCTAATTCCCCTCCTGCAACTTGAATGCAAGCAAGTCTACTACTTTCTCTTTCCTCTTTCCCTTGTTTTGCTTGAAAAAGAGACAGCTATTTGTTGAGAGTCAGTCAACAGAAAAATAATTCAGGCTCCCAAAAGGCATAAATAATTGCAATATATTTAAATGGTAAAACGAACTAAAATTTCTGTACTATACTGTTGGCTATTTATATAATTATTTTAGTTTTAATTAGAACCTTGTATAAATCAGACTATGGATTTCGACTGTGAAAAACCCCATTATAACTCGAAAAAGGAAAGAAAGAAAAATCCTTACCAGGGATTCGTGAAGATGACCGACGTAGGGCGCAACAAAATAATGAAGTCCTACCTATGGGAGTCTACGGCTTTCGGATTTCGTGATTGATCGACGGAGCTTTCTGAAAAGAGTCGTCTTCTCCGATGGAGCTTTCTGAAAAGAGTAGTCTTCTACCAGTGAGGATATTTACATCAACTAAATAAAGCTAAGACTTTTCCAGTCACAAAACCACAGGGAATTATAACAAAATTTTCTCTATCAGCTACATAAGATGTGCAGAAACAAAAGTTAAGATGGAAATTAGAAAGGAACACAAACTAACACAGTATTAAACAGCGAGATCTGTGAATTAACACAAAGAATAATCTAGTTCAGACAAAGTTCTGTCAAGTTGCATCTGAGATTTGATGAAACAAAAACAAACGGGAAAGCGAGATCTGGGACATAGACAAACGATGATCCACTTCACATGGACTGATTATATGAAAAAACCCATACAGAAAGAAGCTTTCAGAATTATAACCAAGTAAAAATTGCTAAACATCAAGCACATATCCAACGAAAACTAATAAATATACACAAACCCAACAACAAATTATTTTTTTAAAAAAAAATATATCATGACTAAAAAATCCAGCTAAATGAACACCGAAGTCTATGAATAAAATCCAATCTTTGAGCTTTGCCACCATACCTGATAATCAACCAACAATCTTCTCCGCCAAACTTCTTTTACAGCTAATTCCCCTCCTGCAACTTGAATGCAAGCAAGTCTACTACTTTCTCTTTCCTCTTTCCCTTGTTTTGCTTGAAAAAGAGACAGCTATTTGTTGAGAGTCAGTCAACAGAAAAATAATTCAGGCTCCCAAAAGGCATAAATAATTGCAATATATTTAAATGGTAAAACGAACTAAAATTTCTGTACTATACTGTTGGCTATTTATATAATTATTTTAGTTTTAATTAGAACCTTGTATAAATCAGACTATGGATTTCGACTGTGAAAAACCCCATTATAACTCGAAAAAGGAAAGAAAGAAAAATCCTTACCAGGGATTCGTGAAGATGACCGACGTAGGGCGCAACAAAATAATGAAGTCCTACCTATGGGAGTCTACGGCTTTCGGATTTCGTGATTGATCGACGGAGCTTTCTGAAAAGAGTCGTCTTCTCCGATGGAGCTTTCTGAAAAGAGTAGTCTTCTACCAGTGAGGATATTTACATCAACTAAATAAAGCTAAGACTTTTCCAGTCACAAAACCACAGGGAATTATAACAAAATTTTCTCTATCAGCTACATAAGATGTGCAGAAACAAAAGTTAAGATGGAAATTAGAAAGGAACACAAACTAACACAGTATTAAACAGCGAGATCTGTGAATTAACACAAAGAATAATCTAGTTCAGACAAAGTTCTGTCAAGTTGCATCTGAGATTTGATGAAACAAAAACAAACGGGAAAGCGAGATCTGGGACATAGACAAACGATGATCCACTTCACATGGACTGATTATATGAAAAAACCCATACAGAAAGAAGCTTTCAGAATTATAACCAAGTAAAAATTGCTAAACATCAAGCACATATCCAACGAAAACTAATAAATATACACAAACCCAACAACAAATTATTTTTTTAAAAAAAAATATATCATGACTAAAAAATCCAGCTAAATGAACACCGAAGTCTATGAATAAAATCCAATCTTTGAGCTTTGCCACCATACCTGATAATCAACCAACAATCTTCTCCGCCAAACTTCTTTTACAGCTAATTCCCCTCCTGCAACTTGAATGCAAGCAAGTCTACTACTTTCTCTTTCCTCTTTCCCTTGTTTTGCTTGAAAAAGAGACAGCTATTTGTTGAGAGTCAGTCAACAGAAAAATAATTCAGGCTCCCAAAAGGCATAAATAATTGCAATATATTTAAATGGTAAAACGAACTAAAATTTCTGTACTATACTGTTGGCTATTTATATAATTATTTTAGGTTTAATTAGAACCTTGTATAAATCAGACTATGGATTTCGACTGTGAAAAACCCCATTATAACTCGAAAAAGGAAAGAAAGAAAAATCCTTACCAGGGATTCGTGAAGATGACCGACGTAGGGCGCAACAAAATAATGAAGTCCTACCTATGGGAGTCTACGGCTTTCGGATTTCGTGATTGATCGACGGAGCTTTCTGAAAAGAGTCGTCTTCTCCGATGGAGCTTTCTGAAAAGAGTAGTCTTCTTCGATTGAATAGTTTTGGGCTGTGCGCGTTTTTTTGGGAGGAGAGAATGAGCGGGCCGAATGTCGCTTTGGGAAGGAATTTGGGGCAGATAATTCGGTAATGTCTATTTGAGTAGGATTTGTGGATAGATAATTAGGTTTAAGACTCTATTATTAATATTAAATAAAAATTATTTAGCAAGGTAAGGTTAATTTAGGTAAAACATAATTTTACAGATTCATTGGTCCTTTTAGAATAGTAGAGAAGAGATTCATTGGTCCTTTTAGAATAGTAGAGATAGAGATAGAGAAGAGATAGAGATAGAGATAGAGAAGAGAAGAGATAGAGATAGAGATAGAGAAGAGATAGAGATAGAGATAGAGATAAGATGTCATTTAAAATACAATATAAATAAAAATATAACATTTTACAAGATTAGGAATTTATATTTATAACAAAGTATGCCGGGGAATAGAGGATACGCAACCTATTTATATTTTATAGTATTCGTGTTTCAACTTTCTCCCCAAAAGATACAGAGCCTAACTTATCAACCCCTTTTCTCACAACCATCTTCACTAGAATTCTGTTACATTCTCTTACCACCATGGTAACCACAAATGACAAAATTGTTCGAGTATCTTGAAGAAAAATAAAATAATAATAATAACAAGAGGATGGATAATATTGTTTTGTCATCTCATGAAATCTTTTAGGGTTAATTGCAAAAAAAAAAACCCAACCTTTCTTAAAGTTGCAAAAAAAACTCAACTTCTTCAATATAGCATAAAAATACCCAACCTTTCAAAATTTTTGCAATTGTGTTTCAAAAGAAGATTCCGGTCAAATGCAGCTAAGGTGCATATCGGAAAATTGACACGGGCAAGATGACCGTGTTACTCTCATTTTCCCTTTCTCTCTCTCTCCATCAACACACTGTGTTTTCTCTTCCTCACAAAAATCCAAATTTCCCTCAAATTTTAAGCTTACTTCACACGCAACGCTCGATTTTCGGATTCTTCAATGAAGTATCTTTCAATCAGGGGTGATTTCATGGCGTGAGGCTCCATGGATTGAGCTCAATTCGTCTTTTTTCTTACAATTTTTTTCTTTTTTGATAAACTGGAAAATGCTTGAAGCTTCAGCTAGCGTCAGCAATGGCGGGCTATCCGCACAGTCTTCCCAGATTCTCAACGGCAGCGGAGATAGCTGCGAGGAGGAGCTCTCTGTCCTGCCGCGGCACACGAAGGTGGATTTTAAGTACTTTGAATTTAACTAATATTAAAAAAAAAAAATATTTTTCGAGTTTGTATTGTTAAAATGTGGAAGTTTTAGAACCAATTATAGCTTGAGCTACTTTGGAGTTCTGATTTTGTTATAAATGTAGTTTGGTTGCATTCCGGTTTTCCGATAATGGATCTGATGTGTTGTGAGAGTTTTCTGAATGCTTGAGTTTCTTTCTTTATCCAATTTTATTAAATGCCTTCATTTGCAATTGGACTTTCTTGCAATCAAATGTCTGTGCTCTGTATCTTGGTGCATTTCTCTGCAAAATCTGAACTCTGCTGCAGAATAACTTCATCATGGGGTGATAAGATTGAGACAACCCTGATATTAATTTGTTTCTTTACTCGACACGGGCCGTAACACGGTCATCTTGTCCGTGTCGTTGCCCGTGTCAATTTTCCGATAAGCACCTCAGCTTCAATTGACCGGAATCTTCATTCGAGACACAATTGCAAAAATTTTGAAAGATTGAGTATTTTTATGCTATATTGAAGAAGTTGAGTTTTTTTTGCAACTTAAAAAAAGGTTAGGTTTTTTTTTGCAATTAACCCAATCTTCTATGAATCATCATAGAAGCAATGCATCATAAAACATCCATTAGCAACCACATTTGGGACCATAAACTTGCCATTTTTAAGATGGCAACAGGAGAAAATATTTGTAACTACAATATCTACCAGGATGATTTCATTAAGACTAATCTTCAAAAAAAATTTCAGAAACTCACCATGCAATCAAGTGTAAACCAGGCCCAGCATACAGTTGCATCCACCCAGTAAAACACCAGAACACAATGCTAAAATCATTCCACACCACTATATACAAACCCCTCATGCCCAGCCAAAGCAAAAGACTAGTAATTACAAAATAAACACACATAAGGAAAAACAAATCAATTATAATAACAATAATAATGAATATTAATGATAGTAACCAAGCAGGCAGAGAGAGAAGTGCATACCCCACAGCTACCGCAAGCACATAAAAGAAGTACAAAAAAGAGGAAACAATAAATTGCATAGGAATCCTCAAGTCATTTGATGGCTTAAAACTAGGAGTCAGGGTGAGTTCATACAAGCCTATAATCAACCAAAAGAGTGCTAACTGATACAACTGAAATGGAGCACAACTGCAAAAGAAAACAGTCATTCACATCAAGATTACATGATGTGCATAGTTAGAGAGGAAAACAAAATGGGCAACAGAAAGGTAAAAGGTTCAGTTGATGTACATGTACCGAAGTGCCTCGAGAGTCATAAGCCCCATCGAACAGTATCTCCTCAAAAAACCAAAGTATTTCTCAACCTCGTAAATGTTGAATTGTACAACAGTTATTTAGCAAATGAGAGATAAGAAAGATTACCCAAAAAAAAATTGAGGGAAGTTTAACTAGCTATAAGTACTACACCAATAATTTTGATTCCAATGCCATCACGGAATGCTTATATAACCTCCGGATCAAAATTACTTTGAAACAACCCTCAAGCTGCCATTCATGCAGAGGCTAAATCAGCAATTTAACAGTACATCTCAGCCTACCACATCAATCAGTTAGAGGTCAAACATGGAGATGAAGGTTCACCTGTTAAACAGTCCAAACTAAAAGTAGCGGCAGTTGATCTGCTCAACCAAGTCACCTAGGTGGTAATACTCATATCTATAAATCAATCAGAAAGCTCCTTCAGTGACAAAGTTAACTTCATGATAATAACAATGATACCAAAAAGTAAGGAGCAATTACACACACACACACACACACACACAATGAAGTTCAACCTAATTACAAAGAATCTAGATCTCCTAAATTTCTACTACCTTGTGGTTGCCAGATACCTCATTTGGTTGGTGCAAATGCTTAGACAAAAAACACAAGGTAAAGGATATTTGCAAGCTTGAAAAATAATAAGCTTTTTTGGATACTGTGCTTAACCTCAAGGTTCTCTTGGGTTTCATCTCTAGCCTACCCCAACTTGCTTGGGACTAAAAGGCTATGTTGTTGTTGTTGTTGTTGTGCTTAACCTCAAGGTTAGTAGTAATAGTTGTCAACCCAAAATTTAAAAAGCTGATCTGTCAGCAGTGATAACTTAATAACTATTCTCTCTTGTCCACAAGGCTACAGGTGAGCCAAGATGATGGAAAAAATTATAACAATGTCACGACCACGACCAGCCTCAGCCAAATAACCACCTATCTATCATCAAAAGACAAAAATCAACCACCAAGTGAAAAAACATATTACCAGAAAATTTAGCAGGAAAGTCAGCATAAGTTTCACTCATGATAAGCTCAGGAAATCCTCATTATCCATTTGAGCTGCCACCAGTAAAGACAAATCACATTAAACAGATATTAAAAGTACATTAATCCAGAAAATGAAAGGTTTGGACGACAACCAAAAAAAAGAAGAAGAAAACAATAGCAGTATAACATAATAAATAGCAGCTAATTAATTCTAGAGTAAAAGGTTTAATTTCCAATGCCCTTATGAGCTCGAAGATTCTCAATGGCCTTCTCACGAAGCTCAATCTCAAGCCTTTTTGGCTCAGGCTCTGTTTCTTGAGAGTGTTTCACCCGTGACCCTTTCCTTTTAAGGCTCTCATCTTCAGATTGATCTCGTGCAAGATCAGAAGACAAACTACCAGCACCATCTCCCTTTATCTCTGAACGGCCTCCATCCCTTTTCCGGCGTCTCTCCTCTCGACGCCTACGCCGCTCCTCTTTCTTCAATTTCTTTTCTTCCTTTTTCCTTCTTTTTGCCTCCTTCCTCTCCTCATAAGAATCAGAGCTAGAATAATCATCTGATTCTACCTCCTTCCTGTGAGACCTCTTGTGCTTCCTCTTCTCTTTTACCTTTGCTCTGTACTCGTCACCTTCCTTAGTAGGAGAATCAAACGAGCCATTCTGCTCATACTTCCTTGATGGTTTATCTATACGACCTTCCATTTCTGGTGGTGAATGACCATTCTTGGTATCATATGCCCCAGCTACTTTCTTGTCCTTAGGTTTAGCACCATCATCATAAGATTCCATTCTTTTTACACCCAAACCAGAGGTTTTAGAAGCTGTTGAAATTTCTTTCCGATCATTATGTTCTTCAAGGTGCGTCTTGTCATGTATTGAGTCACTGTACAAAGACATGAACACAAACCATAAACCAAGTTAGGTCAATTTCCAGAACATCAATAGACCCAAGCCAATAAATATAGCAACAGCGACCTGGTTGGTTGTTGAGTCTTTCTTGAATGTGAATCCTTAAGACCCAAAGATGAAGAAATTTTTCCAATCCTGACAGAAACTTTTCCCTCATCATCTGTATTTGTTCCAGAATTTTCACGATAAGGTTTGGGCCCAGCAGCTTTCATCAAAGCGTTAGAACTCTCAGGATCAGCCATTCTTTCCCTGCTACGGGGACTGGACGGCCTAGACGAAAAATCCACAAGTTGCTGAAAAAGGACTCTACATTTATTATGGGAAGTGAAAAACATAAAGTTAGAAAGATTTAAAACCTTCGTCCTTCATTATAATTCCTGCCCCTAGAAGCATCTGCTAATGCGGACTTCCGCATTGAAGGAGACAATTCTTGCTCTTTTCCACGTAAATCATCCTGATCCATCATATCCCTCTGTGGTGACCTCAGAGAAACTACAGGCTTGTGTTCCACTAACCTCGAACCTTCACGGTCATTAGCAGGGTGTTCAATTCTTTCCTTGGGAGAAGCATGCCGAGCAGGAGAATGTTTATCATGCCTTCTGCACGTGTGACAAAAGAGAATGCTAACCCATAGGCGACTCACTTTACGAAGCAAAAAATTAAAGTTCATTAGAAAGTTCAATTCCTGCTATAGCTATCATTTGGCAATGCTACATTTAGATTAACTGTAAACGCACGCAACCACCATATCCTATATATAGCAGCAAATAAAGGCCCAAGACATGTAGACAAAGTGCCCAGATGATCTCTATCTCATATTGTCTTTCGTGCAATAATAACGGGACGCATAAATCTTTCGTGTGTGTGTGTGTGGTTGGGGTGGGGGGGTTGACTACCTATATGAATGCACTAAAATAGTAAAACATTAATTCTACACTCCTCCATCTATTGGTTCCGAACATCACACGACTAAAAAACCACATTTCAAAATATGATATTACCAGACCCGCAACACTACGAAATTACCAGATCCAAGAGTAATGGGAATGAAAGCATCCAAGATTTGAAATTACCAGACCCACAACAATATAAATACAAAACGAGATTTCGGAGCAAGATAACAAGGTGAAAGTACCTGGCTCTATCTCCGCGAGATTGTACCGGAGAACTTTCCCTTTTAGAATAACCCCTCCTTATCGGCGAAAGGGAACTGCGGCGAGTATCTGAGGGGGAGCTCAATTCTTGCGGAGATCTTACGCGGTCAGGGGTAACAGACATTTTCCGCCTGCTCAAAGAGGACCTACGGCGATCTGGAGATACAGATTGCTGATGTGGAGTTGAAGGAGAACGCCGATACCGCCTTCTTGCAGGTGATGGCGACCTCCTACGTCCAAAAGGTGGAGACCTTCTCACAGGAGAGTTTGACCTACCTTGCTTGGGAGACCGGGACCCACGACGTCCAGCAAATGGCGACCTTCTCCCTAAGGGCGTCCTACTCCTAGACCTATATCTCATGGATGATCTCCTTATAGGGGTCCTTGACCTACGATGCAAAGGCGAACGCGACCTATAATGGCGAGGAGAACGAACCCTGTATCGAACAGGGGAACGAGATCTGTGTCGTGAGCGAGGTGAAGATCGTCGCTTGGAATATGGTGACCGACGTCGTGGTGAACGAGAGCGCCGAGAAACACGCCTCCGGCGGGGTGAAACGGAACGTTCAGGTGATGAGCGCAACTGTCTGTCCGAGGAATTGGAGCGACTTCTTAATGGGGATGATGCTCCAGATATGCTTCTTGACCTCCGCCTTCCACTGTGCAACCAAGTTGGAGAAGTTAATATCAAGGATAGAAATTAAAAACTGATGAATCTTCTTACTAATAAAGACTCAAGACTGAAAATTCAAATGCTATCTTTTGGGGAAAGAAAACTTGAGTAACTAGACAGTGTAATTGCAGAAAGAGAAAAAGGATGTAATAATTTAGGAAATTAAAAGATTGAATTTCAGCATTTTATTGAGAAAAGCTATCATCTTGCATTTTACAAAAGATGTAAATAGAAGAATAAAGTTCATGATGTTTAAAGTTAAACAATTTGGGTTCTTCTGAATCCCTCTTTCTCCTTCTTTTGCTTATTGCACAGATCACCAACATTTACCACGATCAACATACGTACCGCAAAGATGGGGAGTGGTTGGGAGAATCTGGAGACTGAATATCCCTGCTGAGGGGGAACATATATTAGTCCAACATCATGCAAGTTTTCCTACAGTTGAAGTTTTCTTTATTTTCAAACTTGTGTTTGCACCATAATAGCATGAATTAAGAGTGGAAAGATTTTGTTGGGTGATCCGACACTTTCTAAATTTTCAAATAGCAACTCACACTTAACTTGAGCAAGAACATCATCTACGCCATGACACATCATGTACCTGAATCAGTATGCTCTGCCTATTGCAAGATCCAGGACAAAAATAATAAACGTTGTATCGCTAATCAAATCTGACCAAAAAAGTTAAAGCCTACAATACAAACAAATGACATGACAGGTACACCTAGGGGCTTGTAACTGAAGGCGCTGCAAGCTGCAACGTTGTGGCAGCCTGAAGCTAAGCAATACCGGTGAAGCAAAGCAAACAGCGTACCGCGTGTTCTTTGCTGATGCACAAACCCCTCTCTCACCCGTGGTTTGGGAAATTCAGGTTTAAGACTCAGTCCATGACTTCTCCATAAATCCTATGCTTGAGTTGTATGGTTCAAGCTTGCAACCAAATTTATATACAGGAAGTTGACAAACTCTTTTTAATGATTATAATTTAAAGGTCACGAGTTACAAGGGTGAGGGTGCAATTAAGGAACTTGAATACGGCCATCTCTTTAGAAACTTATAACAGAAGTGTGCCCTTCATTTAATATTACACTTAAGTAATCAAGGCCTGCCCTTCTGCTTAAAACCCAATTTTTTATAAATGCAAAAAATATGAACAAGCCTCAAAGTACCGTTGAGCGATTTATTAAACCTTCACTATACCTGCTGAGTCTTCTCCTGTCGTTTCTCTTGTCACGTTCTTCCTCATCTGCCACATTGATGGTGGACCTTTCAATATCATCTTTCACATTAAGCTCCAGCTCTGTATTTTTATCTTTTTGCCTTGCACCATCGCCGCCCTACAGCAGTTTGAGGTAAAGGATATGAACCCAAATAATTGCAGAAGCAGAAGCAAGCTGAATGCAATCAGACAGAAACAGAAAGTCAACGAAAAAGAAGTGTAGTTCTATATAAGTGAACTCATGCTTGGAAAAAAATTGAATTACCATCTTCATTTTCTCTTGCTCAGCTTCTAGCTTCTCCTTCTCCCTCTTCCGTTGAATTTCATTAGCTATACCATCTTTCTCGGCCTGCAATATCAATAAGGCGTCATTATATAAAGATGAGCCATTATCATTAATGAAGAAGACCTACCAAATCAAAACAAAGACCAACCTTCTTCTTCTCAGCTTCCTCTACTTTTGCATCTAGAAATTGTTGGGGAACACCACTCACGTTTTGCTGTGCACTGAGAAGCAGCGACCAGAGCTCCTTCATAAACTTCCCAGTATTTCTCTCCATAAATCCAGTAAGTGTAATCTGGACCTGCTTTCCGTTAACTCCCTGCATCCAGTCACATCAATACATTCGCTACCTAATAAAATATGAACATCTGAGATTTGCCAGAGCTTAAAGTTAAAATGACACAGCTGCCTCAGAAAATTGCCAAGTTGGAATAATAATCCAAAACAAAATTCTCATTAACAATCAGCACTTCAATTTGCTTTTCTTCAGTCAAATAATGTTAATGCCATTAAGAAATACCTTTCCCTCCAACAGACCATAAATAAAATTGATAAGCACTTCATCTTCAAAACCAATTAGCTCAGTTACACGCTTTGCTATCCACGGCTTCATAACATCCATCTTCACTTTTGTCATGTCCACCTAGACAACACGATATTAACAAAAATAATAATCATAATTAAAGTCAAACATGCTGCCTCTTCCCAACAAGTGGAAATTTATGATATCATAGCAAACAGACAACGTGAGGTAAACAGTACATATCATGACATCATGAGTCCATAATATTGATAAAAAATTTGCCACCACGGCAAAAATAAAAAGTCACAAATGAAATATCTAAAATTAAGATTGGTATAAACGAACAAATGCACACTCAGCCACCGTCAATTTCTCCCTAATTTTTTCTCTACGTAATCCCTTACAAAAAAATCTTACATCCCATGTATTCTTTGCCTCTCTCATCTCCTATGTTACACGCTTCACCATGCTATCTATTCCATTCTTTGGGATAATATTGAAAGAAAGTAATCTTTTTTATCAAAACATACAATTAATGCTAAACAAGTTGTCAATGCCAAAATATCAATTACAAAAATGGAGCGAGTATCATCTTCTCCATGCCTTAACTCTTTTACTTCTACCAATTCCAGGTCACAAAGTTCAAAAAGTATCTCTCCGACGACAAGAAAAATAAACAAAATAGCACAAAAATAGTTCATGAATAAAAATAAAAGAAACCCAAACATAAAGGGCAAAAAAAATTGTAAAACAAGGTCCCGGAATCAAACCAGGTGATCTAATTCCGGCGGAAATTTCTGAGACTTGAGCAGCTTTGCCTGCTTGTTCGAGAATCGAGTATCCTGATCGGCCGACGTTCCCTAATTCACATTTGTTCAAAAATTAGAAAGGAAAAGACAAACAGTAGCTCAGCAGACAGATCTGCTGCAGATGCGAATCAACTGAAGCACAGACTAACCAAAATTTATCAAAACCAAAAAAAAATAAAAAATCAGTAAAGCAAATGATCGAAAAACACAATATTGCATACGAAGAAAATAAGAAAAAATTTTACCCGGAAAAATCCACCCGACATTTTCTCTAGGGTTTTGCTTTGCGCTCTGAGCTAATACAGAAGGGTTGGGATTACGAAACTGCTTGTTAAAGCGCTTGCCCTTAGTTTGATAAAGGATAACGGCGTCGTTTTGGCATGCACAATAAAAAAATAAAAAAATAAAAAAATAAAAAAAAGCATACTACAATTACTCACATGTTTGTATTTGACACAATGAATAATAAACAATAATAATAATAACTAATACAATATCGGTGTAATAACGGGTTTGAATTATAAAGATTTTGTAAAAAAGATTAAATTTTTTAATTTTTTTTTCAAAACTAAAATAATTTAATTTTATATAAAAATATTATTTTGGGCTTTAATTAAATTGTCAAGTTATATTTTTTTAATTATAATAATTAAACAGCCGTACATTAAATAAAAATGTCAACCCGTGGTGAATTTTTTTCCTTATATCATATAAAAATATCGATATTATTGACTTTACATAAGTACAACAAAAATATATAGCTAAAATAAATAGAAAGAATATGGTGATATGTATATGCATAAGTGTAGAATATGTTTATTTAATATTTAGCAACATAGATTAATTTTTTACTTAATTAGATGCCTAATACATGAAGTATCGTATCAGTCGTGTTTCACAGTTTTTTAACTTTATATGTAATTTTAGAATTTAGATAAATAATTATTTATTTTTATTAGATTGACAACATACCAATTAGATTTGAAATAAATATTATTTTTAAAAGAATACATACCAATTTCTATTACTTTATAATATAATTTATAGTTTTATTCGATATAATTTAATTTAGTTTGATAAATAAATATAAATTTTATCTATAAGGATTTATATTACTGTTTTGTATTTTATATATATAATAGGGATGTTAAATCGAAAATCGTTAAAAGATAGTTAATTTGATATATCATATATGAAAAATAAAAACAAACAAAAAAGATATTAAAATAAGAAGAAGAAACATTTATAAAAACTAATGAATGAATTATATAAGAAAATGAAATGTGATGTATAGTAATGTTGGAAAATGAAACATAAAAGAGTTTATGGTAACTAATTGTAGAAGTAAAGGAGGAAAAAATAAATCATGAATTTAGTGTGATAAAAAATATTGATTTATATCCAAGCCTAACTCCAAAGCATGGTTGTTTGCCAAATAAGATTCCAAAGCATGAGTGTTTGCCACGTAGGCTTAACGCATTCTGAAATTATATATATAAAGGGGATAATAATAATAATATAAGATTAAAAGTTTTATTTATTCAAAATGGCACCCGCATTATATTCAATTTCCAAAAATGATAATTTCTAATTATTTTTATAAAACTATATATTTATTTGATAAATAATATTCAAACTCCATAAAACTTGATTCGGTTTTTTGTTTTTTTAAATCAATCTTTATTGTGATTATATTTTATATCTGTAGAATCAATGTCTCTCGTTCCTTAATTTTCAAAAATTTTAAATTCATATATTTTATAATTTAGAAGATAAAGAAAAACATATAAATATTTTTAACTCTGTGAAGTATAAAAATTATTTTCATTGTTTTTAATTATGGTACTCCTTTACCATTATTGTTTTGAACAGCCAATAATATTCAATTCTTTATGTATCTATTTAGAACTAGTGCGTGGCCCGTGCGATGCACGGGAAAACAATATTACGATTGTATTATAAATTAAATATATAAATAACATTAATCATGATTTATCTATTGTTTTTAAATTAATCCGGGTTGGACACAGTCCGACCGGATGAACCGAGAACCGGTTTATAACCAGTCTAGTTTATTTGAATAAAATATTTGCTCTCGAATCCGTCAACACCAGTCGGTTGGACTGGTAGGATCGATATGATTTTCTAAATAAATTTTGTTATATTTAAAATTATTTTAAATAAAATTTTATATTTAAATAAAATAGATATTTATACATTGTTTCTCAATTAGTTTAAGCATTTGAATCTAAATTGTTTAGATATCTAAGTAACACATTTTAGATATCTATTAAAATGTGTATAAATTAAAACAAACCACAAATGATTTAATAAAATAGCTTGATCGTTTTGATGACGGTCTAGTTCTGAAAACCTTGTATTTACTGTACATTAATAAATATTATAATAAAATATTATTTAATTCACATAAATATTAATAAAATGATATATATAAATATTCATAAATCATTAAACATGTTGTCATAAAAGTATTGTTAATACGATTGTTTGAAATTTGGACTACATCATATTCACGTAATAAAATATTTTAAATATAAAATTTATATTAAGGTTCAATAATCGATTTGGTGTGGTCGAACTGATACATAACGTAGTCACCTGGGACCAACCAAGTTGTGTCAAGTTTTTTTTACTATTTTAAATATCACCTAAAAGTAATTCAATCAATCTGGGCAGTACCCTAATTCAATCACCCAATTGATCCCGAAGAAATTTTCATATCTTTAAATATATTTAGCTTTATGAAATAAAATTATTTTATGATTCATATAATAAATGTCTACACCAAATGATAGTGTATTAAGATTAGAAATTATATATCTAAAGATGAATTAATTATTTCTACTTTATGCATATTAATAAAAATAAACATAGTAATTTTTAAAAAAACTAAGATTACTTGATTGATTATGCAATTTAAAGAATATTTTTAGCGTTCAATATTTTTCTTAAAGGCACAAATATAAAGATCGAGATTCTAAAAATTTTGTTATATTTTGAATTGAGATTTTATAAATATAGGGACCGAGATTTTAATGTTATTCGTTGTTTTTAGGAAAAAATAAAAAAATAAAAGCATACACACTTAATAAATTTTAGCTGATTTTTTAAATAATAAAATGAACTAAAACCCAAAATTTAAAGTAGCATTTAATGTTGTATGATTTTTAAAGAGAAAATAAGAAAAATAATAAAACTTACTATTTATAGGCAGCATTAAATTCTGACCTATTTTTTTGCTACTATTTGTAATAAATGGTAATTCTTATTATATATATATAGATAGGATGTAAGATTTTTGAATGTACCTCGAGTGGCAGGACAACGATATCCCTTGCAGTTAGAATAAAACAAACTCATTGCTCATTCATGATCCCTCCCGCCGAGAAGGGTGGAAGGACGGGGGAGCACGCCAATGTCTCGATCAATTTTGGTTATATTTATTTTATGTATACTTGATTTTTGCATTTTTCCCAAAAGATAGAAAAATACATTAAATGATTGTTTATATATTAATGAATTATTTAGATTTTTATTATTGTAAAGTTACTTTATAATGTCATTTGATATTTTTTCAATTTAATTTGATAAATAAATTCTATATTATTTATAAATAAATATATATATATTTTATTTTATATATGTAATATGGATGTCAAACCGAAACTCGTTCAAGAAATTATTAATTTTATATATCATATATGTAAAATAATAAACAAATAAGAAAGTTATAAATTATTAAAAATAAGAAGAATATATATTTAGAGTAATTATGCACGAATTAAATAAGAAAATAAAAAGTAGAATAAGGTAATTTGAGAAAAAGAACGTAAAATAGTTAATTGTATCTTTTCAAGGGGAAATGAAGTAGTTGAAAATAGTTAATTGAAATGAAGTAGTTGAAAATAGTTAATTGTATTTCAAGGAGAAAAGAAATAGTTGATTGTATTTTTTCAAGGAGAAATGAAACGATTATTTGGTTTCCTTAAAAAATTAATGTTTATCTCAACCTAGTTACGAAGCATGACATATTATCACATAAAATCCTGAAGCATGCATATTTTATCATTTAGGCTTAAAACATTTGAAAATCATATATAAAAATTTACATTATTTTGTTAATAATTATGTCTAACTCATTATTTTCTCATTAAAATTTTATCCTTCAACCTTACTATTATCAAATTTATTCTACTTAATAGATCATACTTTTCCAAGCAATAATCTCCATATTTTTTAGTCTTACAATTACAATAGTTTCCTCGGGATAGGTTTTGTGAAGATCGACTGAAAACACAAGCTCCAGAGGACTGGTATTCAAGTCCACAAAAGGAGTGAAGGCCACAAAATATGGTAACCGATGCATATGATAAAACAATCAAGTGCTAGTATATTCAAGCAATAGAGAAGTAATTTTGGCAATCAGTACCAAGACAGTTCAAAGGTTGCTGTAATTGAAATGCTAAGTACCAAATTCGTCAAGCTTTAAACTCAAAACATAAAAATAAGGGAACCAAAACTCTGTATGTACATCCGGCCATCACAAACGATACCATTTTCTCGAGTTCTTATTAGAGAGACCAAAGAAACTGACAAGACAAGAAATAACTCCGGCTTTCATCTGAACCAAGCAAAGACACCATGCATTTCCTCAATAAACTCAGAAGTCAAATTCTCCAGTTGCCTGAAGTAGAAAACCAGGATTCAAATCCTCAGTTTTGTTAAGGACGAGCAAATAAATCATAATGGGTCAAATTCCTTCCTAAAGGCAAAAAGTACCTTGTTGAACAGAATGTCTTTGTTATTTATGTGCATAATGCCATCCTTCAATGTGCACTTCCACCTGCTCTTGGTTCTTGTCACCTAAAATAAATAACCATATGAATGAGATAAAAAAGAAATGTAAAAATGAAATAAAATAAAAGGATAAAAATCAAAAATGGGGGAAAAAAAGCAAGTAGGAAAAAGTTTAGATTAGTACCTTATCAAACTGAGCCAGAACCAAATGTGACGTGTTCAGATCTTCGCCTTGGTCTCCATCATCCAAATCATCATCATCATTTTCATTCAAGGGTTCATCTTCATCATCATCCACAATTTCATTCTGTACAGGAGCTGGAGTTGCTGCTATCATCTCTGGCAGTGCAGATTTGTAGGAAATCAATATCGGAGCTTAAACAGTTTCAAGACATACCGAGTGATATAAATTAGATCATCACAGTTACCATTTGGCACAGGCGTGTTAACTATATTGTAATCTTCGTTGACAACTCCTTGATAATTGTATATCTATCAAGGTAAGGATGCAAGAAACAAGTTAGATAATATCATAATAGGGTGCAGTAAAAGACAGCAAAATTTGTGCGAATAACAAATTAAGGGAGAGACTACACAGTAGGCCATAATCAAGTGGAAAAGGTACTCGAAGTGCCAATTGATTAACGGTGTTGTCAAGTTTTAGCCACCAACACAACATGAATGCATAATATCATTGGAACCTTAAAACCCAGGTAATGCAGCATGTTCTAGAACATCAATATTCATTGACGAATCTGATAAATTAGCAAACTTAAGCCCATTAGAATTTTAAATTTTTCTTGACCAATATTACAAGGCCATGAAAGTAAAGCCATGCAGTTACTAAGGCTTCGTGCCGTTAAGATACAGTAGATTCATCTAAAGTTTTTTGAACATGACTAGAAATACAAGGTGTCTGTAATGAATGAAGGGGATAGCTTATTTGATGTATACTGAAAACTAACAAAGTGTTTCTTGTCAAATCACCTCCAAGATTTTTAGAATGCATAAGCAAAGCCAAGAAAGGGAAAGTTATGAGAGATCTGACGAAAATATATTCATATGAATTACTATAAGAATATTCAAATTATGATAATTACCAGAGTGACTATGATACTTTTTTCCAAAGGTTACCAATCACCTAGTACTAGAGACGCGTCAAAAAGAAAACACAGAAGCTGCATTATGAAGTTGAACGGAAAGAAGGTTTGCAATAGATGGCACACTCATGACGATAAAGGATTCAAACTGTACATTGAGAATCTTGTTAAGAAGAAAACAGGACATATATGACATATTAGTGCATTAAGTTTCTTAATTACAATCTTTTGGTTAATTTAGTCAGATCAACTAAAAAATAATCAGTAAATACAAGCCCAGAATGCATAGGGACTATAGGAAGACACCCACCCAACCCTAAAAGTTGCAGTACCCAACCCTATGAACTTGAGTATGAATTAAAAACCAGTAAATACAATTTGTGATGCTAGTACAGAAGACAAGTCTCACAACTTGTGTGCCTGTACGTTATCGGTATACTGCAAGAACACGGGAGGACAACTTACATTGGGTGTTGAAAGCACATCATCATATGGATCAGGTATTGGACCATCCAACTGAGGTATTCTAGAAGACAGTATCCCTGCTTGACCAAACATATGCTGATCGTCCCCTTGGGTCGCCTGTCATATCGCAATTAGAAGTATGTGAAGCTGCAGTGAGTAGAGAATTGGCATAATACAGGTCATTGAAAAATATTTAACAATCCATAAAATAGGCAAGAAACACCAAAAGCAAGAAAGAAAAGTAGAAAACATAGGATTACCTACCAGACACTACAACAACAACAACAACATACCCAGTATATTCCCAACAGGTTGGGGTCTGGGGGGTCAGTTGTACGCAGACCTTACCCTTGTAATTATACAAGGAGGCTGTTTCCGTAGCGACCCAAGGTGCATTGCGCCGTTTGATATATATTTTTTTTTTCTAGAAACTTCACTAATAGAAGAAGCACTAGAATTTAATTGAGCCATTTTGATCTAGTCCATTATTACCTACCAGACACTAACACCTAAAAATTACTATAGATTTTCAATACACTAGAGCTCGTCAAAGAGTGGCAAGAGGCATTACTAGTTTCTACTTTGTAATGTTTAACTAAGAATGGAGCTTGGAGAAGATAATTTAGCACAACTAAAGTAACCAGTGGGTAGATGAAACATGTTAGAAAGAATTTACAGGAAAAAACGACAACTGAAACTATGACCCATGAATTTTTGGAACTTATAGTTGACAGAGCCATGGCCCGCAACCTAAAGTGCCTTCAAAGTCCAATAATGGATGATGTGACGGCGGCAGGCATAGATACAGACAAGAAAACAAAATAATAACCAACTTGCGCTTTTAGCTGTACTTTAAAGAACCACCAGCACAACTGCGGGTGTCACACATATCACACAAACAATTACATTTTAAACCTGTGCCAATAAATCAGTCGCCATGAGCGCCAGGAGACATGCTAATACACTCAACAGCTCATAATTGTAATTAGATCACTATAGTCGTTAGTCATGCTACATTAACATAATATATGACATTCAATTGACATAATGCCTATGTGACTGGCCTCTGTTGTTTCACACCAGACGATCACTAAACCATTACATCATTTTTATGTCAACCTTTATGTCAATTGTCCTTGATACGAACTTTGCTATAATGAATGCCCATGGATTGTGTTCTCAAAAAATGTGAGTAATCATTTTCTGTTTTCTTGTTTGTAAAATTGGAATCCAATCATTCCACTTTCCACAAAACACCCTATTCTACGTCCACTCCAATATCTTCCACACCAGAGTAAATTTATGCTTCTGGATTTGACCAAGCACAAACTATAAGACAATTATTCAACAATTGAAATTCATGTTTTATTTTTCTTCATATTTTAAGTTCTTTCTCTTTCATTAGAATCAGATGCCATGCATCATTTTTTGATAGGAATTGTTATAATGGCTATTTCCAATTTTCAATAAATGTTTGGAATTCTCCATACTGGTTGCAGTATAATTATGATTTTCTGAACCTAAAGCTAAAGCTTATCTTTCAGCACCTACTCACAAAAATATCTGTACTTCAAATAATCAAACTACATGGACATATTCTATTTCTATTCTATAACTTTTGATATTAAACAGGAAGCAGATCACCTGAATATGCCAAATATAATTACCAATTGATATAGTAGATATACCAAAGAGATTGAAATCAGAAAGTATAACTTTCCTTCCGTCTTTTCTCCTTTTTTTTCTACCTTTTATAAGTAATTCTTTGTTAAAATAAGAAAGAACAGTAACTTGGTTTCCTTGAACACATGCATTTGGGCTTTACAATAATGGGCGGTAAAACTTAGAAGTGACTTCACAATTTACATGTAAGTAATAATCAATAAGGCAGCCTACAACAAATCAAGCAGTTATCCTGAATTATCAAATTGAGGTCACTAGTACACAAGTTCAGTACTATGCGGACACGCAATTTTACGTCAAAATAAATAAATGACAGCATTATGCAAGCCATTATTCTAGAAACAATCAATGTGGCGTTTCAGACAATGAATTATACAGATAAACTTATGCATTGAAAATATCTACCTTCAATTCATTTGGCAAAATGTCCCCAGCTCCATCTTGCTGGGGAATGTACCCACCAGCATGGTATTGTGGAGGGACATCATCTCGTTTTCGCTTTCCAAAAGGCATAAAGAATTCCTGTGTTTATATTCCAGCATTATGTCTATTACTGAGTGAAACACAATTAAAAATTGGTTCCATAGGAACAGTAATAAACTAGCCCTTTCAGGGATGTTTCATTTTCTCCTCTTGTTCCCCCCAAAAGCGTTCCCATAAAATGTGGTCAATATTCAGCGAATGTTATACCCCTTCTACCCAATAGGAAATAATCAATTTTCTATGACCTAAAAAAATTCAGTAATCAATTGAGGCGACAACAAAATCCAAAAGTGCTTAATCTCTTTCTATAAAGTTAGTCACGATAATATATTTACCTATGGAGTTAATTATGTATAAAAAAGTTTTCATTTTTATCTATTGATTAATAAACCCAAAGACCAATTGTTCACGTCGCTTTTCTGATAAACTTTAGCTAACAAAGGCAATCTTTAAATAAACATGAAAACAAGGTCTTATTAGCTCTCGAAAAACGTATAACAAGGCATCCTTGATGCGGAAAGAATACATTATTGTGAAAGTTGACATGAAAAGAATTAATCATCAAGTCGAGTCAGTAAACACAAAAGGGAAGGGAAAATGATAAGAATCAACCCCCTAGTTCGGAATCACATATTAGGCCTAGTACTTTGATCTAAAAAATAACAATACAAAACATATTCTCACAGGCTCATCTAGCAACTTTATACATTATTTCAATTTTTATAGTTTAATACTTCATGTAATGGTATCTAGTGATGCAAGATTGGCAAGGAAAATCCCATGAAACTATAGTTCAACCGAAACCTACCAAGAAACTGGGCTGGAAACAAACATAGGTGTTCCAAATCTAGGAAGTTTTATTTATAGATGGTTAGTAAAAATGTGACAATTTTCATCAAGTCTGACGATTTCTTCTCTTCAGTCGAAGGAAATAATTTGAAACTATTAGCACCAACAATAATATTATTCTTAATGACATCCACAAAGGCAATAATGTTTTTTTTTTCGAACACAAATGCAATAATGGTTGAGTGAGATAAAAATTGTACATTTTTTTATGAAAAGAAACACTTAGTTCATAACAATACATCAATACCAATATATTTAAATCTCCAGTAAATTGTTGGTACTTCAGATCATATTTGTCACATACTAAAGGATGTAAACAACTGGACTTTAGTTAAAGCATAAAACATAAAATCCTGTCCACAGCATCTTTTAATAATTGTGATACAAAACATGCAAAACTAACGCGTGAAGTATTCACGCAATTATGATGGATAAATTAACAGGAAAAGTGAGATTGAAATTCATTCCTACAAGCATCAGAAATCACAGTCAATATCGATGAAAAAATACATAGTAAGAATCTTGTAAATATTGAGTCATAACTTTCAGGCGAACCAAGAAATTCGAATGATCTGATGTAAGGGTAATAATGCAGACTGCAGACTTTTACCAGGAACAGACAATACAAATGTAGTTTTCACAAATATGAAATATTCCTAGGACTACAGCATATAGTTGTAGTCTACAGTTGTAGTTATATATCTAATGCAATCCTAAAGTTCCATAATGGGTGATAATTGGCCAAAGCGTTATTATTTTATACTGCTTTCCACAAGTTTATATTTAATGCAATTATGATAGATAAATTAACTGGCGAAGTGAGATTGAAATTCATTCCTACAAGCATAAGAAATCACACAGTCAATATTACATAGTAAGAATCATGTAAATATTGAGTCATAACTTTCAGAGTAACCAAGAAATTCGAATGATCTGATGTTAAGAGTCACAATGGAAACTGCAGACTTTTACCAGCAACAGACAATACAAATGTAGTTTTCACATATATGAAATATTCCTAGGACTATAGCATATAGTTATAGTGATATATCTAATGCAATGCTAAAATTCCATAATGGGTGATAATTGGCCAAAGCCTTACTAATTTTAAAGCTTTCCACATGTTTATATCAAAAAGATCCTGATGATTGCTCTAACCACAAGAAAATAAAGGAATACAAGTTTTGCTGGAATATTGTTGTGGAAAGTTATAGAAAGTAAAAGGTATGAATTCAGATGGTGTGATTGATTTGGGATAAATATGTCATGCGAAATTTTTCTTGAAATAAAATAATAAACAATGATTGGCTTTAGTTAATAGTAAGAGAAACATGAGTGGCTGAATAATTGAATTCATGTGGAAATGTGTGAGAATTGTTGGTTCTTTCTCAGAGAGAAAAGTGACAGTGAGTAAAGTCCTTTATGGCTAACTTTTAATAGAAAATCACTTTGCACGACATTTCACACACGGAGCTAACATATTCAAGTACTACCTCAATATCCACGTTTCTTTTTGTTTTCTTATTTCTCAAGAGGAAGAAACTGAACAGGGTACCAGTAGCTAGGACGAGTCATATATAATGCCGCTAGGTGGTTGACTGTCATTTACGCAGAACTCACTCTGTCTTAATGATTGATAATACCTGAGTTGCTGGCTGATTAGGTGCTGTCCTCTCACCCTCTTCCCGACCTTCCACATATGCTGCAACAAGTAATTGCTAGGAATGAGAAATTATTAATCTGTTCTGGCCTAGTTGACATCATTATTTACACACTACTCCCATCCCTATGTACATATGGTTTCACAATCTCGTGTAAAAGACATGTAAGGTCATACTCACCAACATTCACATCAAGAGAAGGCCTTTGATTTAGCCAAGGTGAAGGTGGCTGCTGCAGAAGAAGAAAAGACAAAGAACAAGAAAAATAAATCATATTTTCCACCTACCAAAATGAAATGACATTGCAGATATTCCCCATGACTCAACACAAGATTCCCTAAATAAGTAAGTATAACTTCACAACAGACAAATAATAGCAAAATGATAACAAAAACGATAAATCTGACCAAACTATTGACTTAAATCTAGAAGAACAAGGGAAAAGAAAAAAGGGTTTTGAAACAGGCATACCATAAAAGCACTAGGTCGTCCTGTCCCAGCTTTTACCTCAGGGACACCACCGTTTTCATTAGTAGATGTATACTCATTAGGGGTGATTAGGGTACCACCAGTTGGAATATTGTACAAAGAACCACTATCACTTCCAGGGAGAGGAGTTTGAGCTGTTCCAGGCAATGGTGTCTGTGCTGTCCCGGGCAACGGCGTCTGTGCAGTTCCTGGCAACGGCGTTTGCATAGGGGTTTGCAGAGGAGTCTACATACACCCAAAATGAAAAAATTATATAAACAAGGACCACAAAATCACTTCCAAATGGAGCCAATATTCCAAACTGGGCTTGCAGAGGAGTCTACAGTCTACACAGACCCAAAATGAAAACATACAATAAACAAGGACCATAAAAACACTTCCAAATGGAGCCAATATTCCAAACTGCAGGAAGACAACGAGAAAAAAACGATCTCTCACCGGAGGGAAGAGCATATCAGCAGTGGGAGTCTCATACTCCTCCGTGCCCTCATAGGGTACGTTGAGGTCATGCACGGGATTAGGAGTGATTGGACCACCCGCCGCACCCTTCTGCATCGCTGACCTATCTATGGGACCCAAGATTGCTCCAGCTTGCATCATCTTCAGTTCCCATAACTGTAGATATCAAACACAAAC